TTTAACTAAAAATCTCCTACACAGGTCGAGAACTTAAATTATCTTAATCCAATGAAATTAAACTTAATTCTAATTTAGCCAAAAATTAGAATTTCGAAGTTAGAAGATCCAAGAATTAAAGTTATCAACTTAGGGAAAGATCGAAAGGCACTATTTATCTCTGAAAATAAACGAGTCGGAGAACACGGGGCGTTACAACCTAAACTATCACTACTGGAAGGGGAATACATGAAAACTACCATATTTGCAAACAAGAGTAAAACAAGAATGACTGACCTACGGAAGGTTCGAGCTGGTTTCAGATCGAACTCCAGAAATTCAGGGAACGTAAGGTTTGACCTGAAGTCCCGGAACTATTTATAGCTAATCGGGAAAACCTCTACGCCGTACACGTGTAATGAACTAGCGGCTAGGATCATCTCGAGATTCGTAATGACGGAATACTTGAGTGCTCTGACAGCCTCGCAGATCGAAACGTCTTCCACAACGGTCATATTCTCTCTACGAATTAGAAGTCGCCACGTGTCCAAAATCGACTTGGATAAACTTCTCTGCCAGGTCGAGATCTAACCTGGCAGAGAGGGGGCCAATGTTTGGGGGTAAAAATACCTTAGACACTTGGAGGACGCTTATTGGTGTTCAAGGAATAAAATATCCCAAGTCCACCTCGAACCTGCCAAGGAGGTCGGGTTCGCCCATTGGAAAAAGGCTAAGTATACATGCCAAAGTTCGACCTGATTGGGGTTCGATCTGCTCGGAACCCGACAGGTCCGACATGAGAAAAAAACATGTAACTGTGGGTCGTGAGTACTGTCGGATCCACCACCTATAAATAGAGGGCTTCATTTCAGCTCAGGTATCAAATCTCATCTCGAACCTTATATTGTGCCCGACCAACACTGACTTGAGCGTCAGAGAGTTTACCCTCTTGTGCAGGTTCACTCTTGGGTTGAGGTCGATCCTGGGACCGGGTTCGAGCTTGGTTCGTAAAACAACGTTGTGCAAACCTTTGCATAAACACTCTCAACTCCCCCCTCATAAGTCCTTGCCTCAAACATCCCAAAAAGATTGAAGTTTTCTTAAGTACAGACAACAAATAATATGGGTCAAGATTAAAATGTCTGATAACTAATAAGATGGGTTAGTCATTCCCATCAAAAATTAAAGTTAATTAGGGTATTTTTTTGGTATGAAATCTGAATTCTATTTATTATTTTCAGATTTACTAAAAATGAATATCTATTTGACATATTCATTTTTTAAAACTATTGTCGGATTCTATGATCAAAGAGGAAATTATAAAACAACGTTTTCAATTTTTTGGATTTTGAATTTGAAACTTTAAGATCTAAAATTAGATAATTTTTTTTTTGATAAATACACTATTTTACGGTTTAAACTCGTTTCATTTTTTTTTATTAAAATAAAAACATGTAAATTATAATATATTAGATTATATAATATTATAAAATTATAATTATACAAAATTTATAATATATATGTCAATAAATTAATTAATATTAGTTTACGAACATATTACTAACCACCTTAAACAATTTTTTAAATTGAGATTCTATTTTCAAATCTGCTACCTTACCTATCTGAAAACATGTAATATAGTTTTTACTAGAATCTCTCATTTTCAGATTACCAACCAAATACATTTGATTATTTTAAGTCTAGTTTTGTTTCGTTGTTTTTTTTGTTTTTTTTTTGTTTTTTTAGAAATACCATTTAGTGTCTTTTAACCTACAATATCTTACTTTATATCATACTTCATTAAATATAAAATGCAACAAAAAAAAATTGTATAAGTAGTCATGGTGGAGTAATTGGTGTGCACAATTGTATTTTCCTCTTCTTAGTCATCTGCAAAACGGAAGAATTTTGAATTTTTGAGAGTGAATGGAAAAATTCTATTTGATATTAGAGAGTTTGAAAAGTCTCATGATTTGACAACTTAAAACTACTTCTCACATATCATACTATACTAAATAACTTCTCCTTCTAAATCGTTTCATTTTCGAATTTAAATTTCAATGTCGATATGAAATATCATATTTGCTCAAGCAACAAGGTTAATTACAATCAATACGAGTCATATTCCACAAGAATTGGAGAAAATGCTTCAAGCTTAACGATTCAATTCAAATCCTTCAAAGCACATTGCTCATACTTGATGTTTGTTAGCGACCGACCTCCTAAGCTCATCTAAAGAAGAGCTCCCAAACTCATCTACGAAAAAGCTCTTAAGCTCATCTATCGTTCAGCTCCTAAGCTCATATACGGAAGAGCTCCTAGACTCTTCTACTGTTGAGCTCATCTACGAAAGTGGTTTTAAGCTCATCTTACCACCAAGCTCCTAAGCTCATATATGGAAGAGCTCCTAGACTCATCTACTGCTGAGCTCGTCTAGGAAAATGGTTTTAAGCTCATCTTACCATCGAGCTCCTAAGCTCATCTACAAAAGAGCCTATAAGCTCATCTACGGAAGAGATTTTAAGCTTATCTACCGCCAAGCTCTTAAACTCATCTATGGAAGAGCTCTTCAGGGACAAGCTCTGACGTCATGCAGTTCTGTCAACAGTACATAGTTCACCCACCCAGGGAAACCAGTTGATGGGATGGATAACTACCCTTCAAACTCCTATAAATACACCTTCACTTCACTCAATAAGGTATGCAATTTTTGTATTAAGTTGATTTACTCAGCTCGAACTTACTAACTTGAGCGTCAGAGTGCTTAAATTATTTTTGCAGATCTCCCCCCTCCACCTCGTTCTGCCTCAACTTGCCCGAGAGGTCTTCCCTCTCCATCTCGTCTGCTTTAGGTTGCTGGGGACGTCTCCCCTCTCCAGCTCACTCTACAACAGCTCGTTAGAGAAGAGTCGAGGTCGATCTCTGACACTTGGTAGAAATTTACATCAATAATTTTAATTAAAACCAAAAATCAAAGAGAAAATATCATAAACCAAAATTAAAGAAAAAATATCATAAAAAAAACGAGTTAGCAAATTGATCTTTGTCGATAATACAAATTATAGTGTTTACCAAAGGCATAAAGAACTGTTTATGCAAAAAATATGCCAAGGCATAGATGACGACCTGGGAGGTCGGCCGGCGGCACTTAGAGCGATTCCTATGGTACCTGCGAGGAGGTAAGCCACTCCGACGCCCAAGTTAGTATATAGTCTGAGCTCAACAGATCAGCGTCAAACAGATTTTCATACGTGGGCCCATGGTGGAGTGGTGTATTTATAACGGTTGAAGGGGTAGATAACCATCCCATCTGATGGGATGTGAATCCCGCAGCGGAAGCGATGATCTTCGTTCATCAATTTTGAGAATCAAAACTCAATGTTCAAAAGTAAAATACAGGGGAAAGAAAAGGTTTCCTTACCTTTGAAGAATGCTTCTTCAATGGATTAACCAGAACATCACCAATAGAACTTCCTTACTTTCCTCAAGGTGCGACGATCTTGCTTGTGGGAGCGTCGGTTTGGAACGTGATGGAGAATTGAGAGAGTGTGATTGAGAGAAAAACTTGAGAGTCTCTGTTCAGTTCTATCAAAACCTTTCTGAAAAACCAAAATAAAAGAAGCTGTGACGTTACCCACGTCACTTAACTCCCTACTCCCTTGTTATATATTAATTATATATATTAATATTACTAATAAATAATAATAATTAATATATATATATTTAATTAATTAATCATATTAATTAATAAATAATTATTAATTATTAATCAAATTAATAATTAATATATATATATATATATATATATATATATATATAAATCAAATAAATAATTAACAGTTAATTATTTATTACAAAAATAGAATCATATTCTATAGTTGTAATATCCATCTTAGGCACATCATATTCGTATTAATTTTATTTGAATCACATTCAAATAATTTCTCTCATAATATATAGTTTTAATTAGAATTAACTATATATTATAATGTATCACTATACATATAATCCCTGGAGCAATTTGTACATTTCAAAATTTTCCAAAAAACTTGATCCTCGTTTACCCGTTATGAGCTAGCAAGGGGACCTGATGGACCTACAGATCAGAAGCTTCAACGATGCGAGATTAATCGGTCAAACTCATTGACCGAGTTAATCAACATTCGTTAACTACGGGTCAGTCCACTAAGGACCTGCAACTGCACTCTTCTCACTGTAGAATGTTTTCGTGTCCACGGATATACGACCATTAATGACAAGTCAATCCTTCACGAGTGTTCGTAACCACATATGGGTCAAATTACCGTTTTATCCTTGTGTTACATCTTGCTCCTGAAATACCGCTGCTCATCTAATGAACAACCTGGTTTTAATCCGACCAATAACCGGAAGTCCCTCTCGGGCCAGTGAGAGGGTGGGGCCCCTTGTTCAAGTCCCGGAGTCAGCATTTAAGAGAACACTCATCTACTGCTTAAAGTCGGGGAGGAGTGAATTCCATCTTGTGAAGTTATGTTCCCAGCTCCCCACTCAGTCTCATCCCCAAAATGATAGGAATATTAAGTCGGCGACTCGGACCACTCTCACCCATATAGATCAAAGGATGAGCCCTCACGGGCAGGAGTACATAACTCATTCAGGATTGAGAATGAGTTGCCTGATCATCCTAAGAAATAGCAATCTGTTAGTTAACGGTATTACATCTAAAGATTGGCTACACGCGAACGACCTGGATAGAGTCGTCTGTAACATTTACAGAGTGGACCGTATCCATAGTGTTGTCAGGATAAGGTATCCAGCCTTATCCATATACTCACTGCAAGAAATATAGTTATTTAGAGCTATGTGAGATAGCATTTTGAAAAAATAAGCTATGGAAGAAATAAAAAAAAAAGGTGGCCAATTTTTTCCAGTTCTCCCGTGAAATTTGTAGCGTCACCAATGTGAAGAGCAAAACCTCCTTTTTCTTCCCTCATTTTTCCCCTATCATGAAAAAGTATCGTATCCTTCATTCGACATTCTCTCTGTGCAAAGCAATCCTCTTCGTGTTCGGCTGTTCGCCCACGCCCTCGGGATCTCTAGGTATCCACACGCCGCTGCCGTCAAGTTCTCCAGTATCCGCACGTCTCCCCCGCTGCTTCTATCGGTATCTACAAGTTCGTCGTCGAGTTCTCCAAGTCCACACACCCCCTTCACTGCACTTGCTTTGTTTGTCGCTTCACTCTCTTTGTTCCATGTCCAATGTTCCAAACTCTTCAATTTATAATTTAAGGATTTTTTCGCTTTTGGTGTAAAAACATATTGCATTTTTAAGTTTCAATCTCTAATATACACCTCACAACWGTTGAAGGAGTCGTGCAGGGCGTCTCAGAGAAATTGCTCGTMTTCGTTCTCTTCGAGTTCGTTTCTCTATTATTTTTGCTTCTACTACTAATTTTGACCTCTGTCGCTTTTCTATTTCCCAATCTTGATTTGTTTCTTTGATTTGGGTTTCCAGATTATATGTGTGTGTTTGACAAGTTGGTGGCTGATTTTTCTTTTTTGTGTTTTTATGATTTTCAAGCGGTGGATGGTTTCTCTAAATGTGTGGTGACTGGCTTGCTTTTTTATGGGTTGGAGTGTTGTGTTCCCTTAAATGGTGTTGTTTTGGGTTGTAGTGGTTTTTTATTCATCATTCTTAAAATATTTTTGAGAGATTTCTTAGAGAGGTAGAAAGAATTTGTAATAATGCGACTTTCTTTTAAGATAAATACGCGTTCTCGTACATTATCAATTCTTTACCAAAATCAACAAATAGGTCACCATCAGAATAAGAGATTGTGGCAAAAAKAAGACAAAGGGATTTTGTTATATATGTAAGACTTAAGGATGACAAATCATTGAGAAAAAGGAGGCTGAGRCTTTAGGATTCTTAAATTGGCATAAGCAAAATGAGGGCTGAAACAAAACAGCTAGTTACTGTTACTCTTGCGATTGGGAATAACACTATTAAAAAAATAGAGGATGAGCTAGTGTAACCCRTATACCTTTAAACTTCTCTTCTTTAGTAGTACCGAGCGTAGTGTTAATAACCTAGGTTTGTTTAGGAGGGAGAGTAGGTTCACTGTAGTTTCCTTGAGGTCTCCATTTTCTTTTCCCTTTTTTCARTGTGAGATTTTTAAAGGTTTGATTCAATCTCTTTTGTTTGATTGTGCTAAAAATGTTATTGATTTGTATTCTATTAAAAGTTTCCATTATTGAGCAGAAAACCGTTGAGTAGTGGCCTTCATATTCTCCTTAGAGGTGTTTGTGCATTAACAGTAGTGATTTTCTTCCGTTTTGTAAGTAACTTGCAATTTATATGGTCATGCTTCTGAACTTGCGTTGTCTGGCATTTAATAACATATTTTACGTTGGCATCAATGATTTTATCTATGAAACTTAGGGTTCACGGGCCTATTAAATGCTCAACTTCCTGACTTTTTGTTGAATGTGTATGTCCCAAATGAAAAAGGACTTTGAGTTTTCCCCTGGACTTGCATTTGTGATCTTAAAGAATTTGTGTTTTGCCTAAACTCTATCTAAACAATAAATAATTATCATAGGTAGAATTTAATTGATTAGCTAGCTAAACATGATCTCTTATTATATACTTCATTATTCGGGCATAGGATTTCGATACGTTATCGGATATGCTATAATTATTCAACTAATGGTCATAGAACAAATAAACACTCACGTACCAGTTTTTTTATTTGCTTGATGGTGTGCAAAAGCTTGGGCATCTTTGACACTTCCTATTATCTCCAAATCAATCTGTTCGCCAAAAGCTTCATTTTAGGCCAAAAATTGCAGATAGATCACATAAAGAAGAGGTGGAAGTAGCTCTGCTAGTTGGTGTTGMTTTACCTTCTTTGTCTGCAATATTCCCAACTGATTCTGTACAGGGAARGATGCCTTTTTCAAGGACTTGAGGTGCGAGGGAAGACTTGACAAGAATTTCGTTCAGAAAGTAATGGTCATTGTGAATTATTTTTTGTATACATAATTTGTTCCCTTGTCATTTTTCTTTGCTAATTCAACAAAGATAAACATMTTGACAAGTAAAGGGGAGTGTTTTTTCCCCATCGATAATGGTTTATTATTGTGTTGTCCYATTTGGATAGAGATTATGTTTAGACCGAGGTAATTGGCTGAATGAGGAGWTGATGGTTAGATTGTTTATGCAATGAAACATTTATGAGCTTTTTTTTTGCAAAATATAGATTATTATCTAGATAATGTTGCTAAGATAGCAAATTGTTTCTAGAATTTTTGTGAGAGTTATGCAATTTATGTWCTTTCCTTGAATTCTATTCATGTGGTCATGATAGGGAAAAAATAAAAAATTACTGATATGCTCTATGGTATTGTGTGGCTTATTTTTCTGGTATGTAAATTACTAGTTATGTGTTTTGTTATCTTTATTATTTATCTATTTCTACCTTAATCTGAAGTGTTAGATTTGAAGAAGATGGGTCGCGAGGAGAGTTTGATTTTTGAAACTTAATCTAGAGAGTGAGATTTATGTTATTGGTTTGAGTTTTTTATGCCTTCATTTCCTTACTACAGATTAAGATCTAATGAGAATATTCTACATCTGAACCTATAATTTACATGTCTTAACTTTTTTGTTTTCGTGGAGTTCAGATCTTTTATAAGTCCTTCAACAAGAGTTTTGAAGGTCGCTGAATCGTGTCCGAGAAGGAAGATTATCAAGGTTGGGTTTTCTGTCTTCTTTTTCAAGATTATTCCATGATATTATTACTACAACAAATAATACTTTTTATAACCTGAGACTGATTTGTTTCTAAATTGTCAGTCTAACCTGATTTCCTTGGATTATTTTCCTTCTTAATGCCAAACTTTTTGTTGTGTTTTATTTCTAGGCCCAAAATTATTTATTTCTTTGGTTTGGTTTGATTTTGTTTGTAGAGGCTAATTGATCTGCACCATTGTACCTAGTACCCAACATCAGAGGAGTTGAGTATTGAAAAACAAAATTCAAGGCATTTGATTTGTGGGGACATCAAATTGTTTATAGAGAGTCAAGAAGGATTACTTTGCGAAGGTAATGAAATTGTTGGATTCTGAATTAGAATGGCAAGTTTGGATTATGAATTTTGTTTCTGTGATGAAGTGAATTAAGATATTGGAACTCTTTTGTATCATTTTGTCCTTAAAGCAATTTTGTCTGGAAGAATGTTTGATAAAGATTGRATTCATTTGAACATGTATGAGTATGTCAAATATTAATTAGTAATAGCTTAAACAAATTGGTTATATTAATTTGTTGAGTTTTATTTTTTAATTTATAGAGCTACTGATGAATCCTTGCGGGGTGCATGGAACTTTGTCGAACAAGTGAAAAGTAAGTCGGATGGGGTGGACAAAATATTATGTCCCTGCAAGATATGTAGGAACATGAATCACCAAACCTTTGATTCTGTGTATGAACATTTGGTTATTAAAGGTATGGATTTGACTTATAAGATTCAGTATCATCATGGTGAAGAATTGTCTTCAATTGGATGCCATTATTTGTTTAATGGTGAAACTTTTAGTAATGCTTCACTTGTAGAAGACGAACCAATTGATGAACCTCGACCTTCTACATACAAGGCTTTCACCAAAAAATTTTCTAATGCGAACACTCCATTGTATCCATCGTGTACAAAATATACAAAATTGTCAGCTGTTGCATCCTTATATAAGATTAAGGGTGCTAATGATTGGACTGATAAGAGTTTTACAAGTCTTTTAGAGYTCTTACATGACATTCTACCCCCTGATAATATCATCCCCAAGTCTACCTATGAAGTGAAGAAGTTCTTACAAGTATTTGATTTAGGATACAGAAAAATTCATGCCTGTGTGAATGACTGTTGCTTATTTACTAAGGAGAACAAAGTTTGGATAGTTGCCCAATTTGTTCACATTCTCGATGGATGGTAGATAAGTGCACCAGGTGAATGAAACGAGGTGTTCCTGCTAAAGTGCTAAGGTATTTTCCTCTCATCCCAAGACTTAGACGAATGTTCAGAAYTCATGAAGTAGCTGAATTAGTACGGTGGCATATAGATCATAARAGCAATGATGGAAAGATGCACCATCCAGTTGATAGTGTGTCATGGGAGTCAGTTGATGTAAAATGGCCAGATTTTTCTAGTGATTCACGCAACTTACGATTTGACCTATCCACTGATGGTTTTAACCCATATTTTAACATTAGTAGTACATATATAGTTGTTGGCCAGTAATGCTTGTGACATACAACCTACCTCCATGACTATGTATGGCAAAGAAGAACATAATTCTGGCGTTATTAATTCTTGGTCCCAAGCAACTTGGTAACGACATTGATGTTTACTTGGAACCATTAATTGATGACTTGAAAAAGTTATGGAATGGAGTGAAAGCTTATGATGCAGCAAGCAAATCAAAATTCAATCTAAGAGCCATTCTTATGTGGACTATAAATGATTTTCCAGCTTATGGAAATCTTGTCGGGTGCATAACGAAAGGCAAAACTGCATGTCCTATTTGCGGGGAGCACACACAAGCTGAATGGTTGTACAATAGCAAGAAAGTATGTTTTATGGGCCATAGACGATTCTTACCTTCGTCTCATCCATATAGAAGGAAGAAGTCTTGGTTTAATGGCATATTGGAAGAACGACAAGCTCCTAGAATCATGAACGGAAATGCAATTTAAGGTGAACTTAAAGATTTTTTAAACCATTAGGGGAAGTGTGAGAAGAAAAAACAAAAAGAAACATAAAGGGATAAACGAATTGTGGAAGAAACGATCTATATTCTTCGAGCTACCATATTGGAAGGTAAAAGCATCTTTATACTATCATTGTATATTTGATCTAACTTGAAGACATACATCGTTTACTAACTTCATTTGTTGTCCACCAATATTATAGGAACTTGTGTTGCGCCACAATTTGGACGTAATGCATGTTGAGAAGAATGTATGTGAGAGCATTGTTAGTACATTGTTAGATATTAGTGGAAAGTCGAAAGATGGCCTCAATGCTCGRAAAGATTTACAAGATATGAATATACGACATGACTTACACCCAGAAGAGCGTGGGGGTCGAGTTTACCTTCCTCCGGCTCCACACACATTGTCAAGATCTGAAAAGCAATTATTTTTAAGGAGGTTATTTGACTTGAAGTTACCTGATGGATACAGTTCAAACATTTCAAATTGTGTTTCATTGAAAGAGTGCAAGATAACTGGAATGAAGTCTCATGATTATCATGTGTTAATGCAACAACTTCTACCTGTTGTAATTAGAGGAATGCTTCTAAAAGGTGCAAGAAAATCAATCACACGATTATGTGTATTTTTCAATAAAATTTGCCAATGTATGATTGATAGAGAAAATATGTTGGAGGTTGAAAAAAAAGTGATTCATGCATTATGCCTTTTGGAGAGGTTTTTTCCTCCTTCGTTCTTTGACATCATGATTCATTTGGTCGTTCATTTAGGACGTGAAGTTAGATTATGTGGGTCAGTTCAATTTCGTTGGACGTATCCCTTTGAAAGGTGTGTTATTTATCACAGTCTAAACTTTAAGTGTCCATTAGTTGGAAATCTTGAGCATCTTACATGTATTGTGATATTTTTAGATACATGAAGACGTTGAAGAGGTATGTTAAGAATAATTCACGTCCAGAAGGATGCATTGCAGAGCGTTATTTAGCTAATGAGTGCATTCATTTTTATAAGAATTGTGTCAAAGATTCACCGGAACTTGACAGCAGAGAATGTCGTAATGAGGAGTTCAACAACGATGTCATTCTTGAAGGCCGTCCTATATCATCTGGATCCCAAATTATATTATCTGATGATGTACTCCAAATAGCTCATCAATAGTGTTGTTCAACTCAGCCATGGTGGAACCATATATAGAGTGAGCATTTTATTTGCCCATTAGCATTGAGCGAATGTAATACAAATATTAATGTGTGGTTCATCAATATATATAAGGATGCATAAAACGAAGTTGTTGAGTTCGAATAGAAGATTGRGTGCTGACAACAATCTTCTAATGAAGGTTCACACAATGGAATTTCCACTTTGGTTGAAAGACAAGGTAATATACTATGCGCTTCCACGGATAGTGTAGTTATCACTAGTGATTCTAAATATGTGATTTTTYATTGGAATAGATTTCGTTAGATTCTGATAACACGATGCATTCAAATTTATTAAAGTGGCTTGCCAATGGACCACGGAAGAGTGCGATGTCTTATTCAGGGTACATCATAAATGGGCAACGGTTTCACATAAAGAGCATTTAAAGGTCAACTCAAAATAGTGGTGTTTCTATTGAGGCGACTACGTTATGTAGATCAAGTGCTATAGATGGAGTTCCGATTGTTGATCTGGTTATGTATTATGGAGTTCTGACAGAAATTCTCTTACTAGGTTATTATATCTATCGACTCCCACTATTTAAGTGTGATTGGGCAAAACTCCATAATAGAATTAAAATCGAAGATGGATTTACATTGGTTAACTTGCATCAAAGTCAAAGTCAATTTGAAAAAGAACCATTTATTCTTACATCACAAGCGAAACAAGTATTTTACGCCAGAGAACATGCCAYATCTAATTGGTATGTTTTATTAAAAGCACCTCCTAGGGGGTTTTRTGAGTTAGACAAGTATGATGAGAATGCACACACAAGTTTTGTGGGTGAAGGACAACAATTTGCTACACTCAAAGAAACTGATGTAGATTTTAAAGAATGCAACTATACACGAGATGATTGTAAAGGCACCTTTATTTGATAACACTAGTGACCATTTTGTAAACTTGCACAAATGTAGTGTTATGTCACAATATTTGTAAATTTGCAAGACTAATGACCATTTTGTATATGATAACACTAGTGACCATTTTGTAAACTTGCACAAATGTAGGATTAATATGTCATATTTTGATAACRSTAGTGACCATTTTGTATATTGGCAAGTTTGTAGGTATTTTGTAAAGGTGAATATGAATATGATAATTTATTTGTGTGTTGTTTTAACTCTTATTATGTCATTTAGTATTTTCTGTTTCAGGTAAAATTCATAGGCCCGACAATTTACGATTTGGCATCATGAAGACAAATGCACCGGTAAGTTAGCTTTAATTTACAATTTGTTTCTTTAGGACTTGCTAAAAAGGAAGGGCATTCTCAAGAAATGGAAGAGGTCGTCAACTACAGGACCATATGTCGTTGAACCACGACGTTCTGAGCGCAATGCTGAAAAGAATTTTTGGAGATTTGCAACGTCCTTTAGTATGGACTTAACCGACTGTGACGACAATGCATCATCCATTCAGCCATTGCCAAAAAGTGTTAAAAGAAAGATAGTGGATGACGTAAATATTGGGGAGTATAGTGGAGTGAGAGAAAGTGAGATCTCACCTGTTTCTGAAAACCCAAATCATGAAAATGGTACGGATAGTCCACCCATGACTCCTCCCACACACATACATGAAGAAACGGAAACTCATGTGATCATCCCAACCCTAATGAGCTACACGAGAACCCTACAAGGCAACCTAATGTACTAGATTCTCCTACTACTTGAACAAGGGGAGCACTTCATAGGTTAACACCCATCGAGGAGGTTCATATTGAGACAGAGGAAAATGGAGAAGGGTCTGAACCTCCTACCAAAGAACTAGAACCTAAAAAAAGAAGAGGACCTACCAAAATGAAAACAATAGCAGTTGAGCCACAATCAAAGCTAAGCATATCTTTTAATAAGTTTGGAGGGCAAGCAAATCTCGATTGGTAAGTCAAATTCAAACTGCTTCAACTAATGAGAAGTTGGCTAAACTAAAGCCAGACAATATTTCTTCAATGGATGATTGGATGGATTTCGTGAAGGAGAAGACAAGTGCTAAATTCTTGGTATGAAAACATATTGTTTCTTTGTTTCTTATTCACATGTAGGTATGTATTAACACTTTAAACATCATTATTAGGCGAAGAGTGAAAAATTCAAGGAGATGAAGAAAAAACAGCTACCACACACTTGTAGTCATAAAGGATATGCTCGACTGGCAGAAGAGATGGTATTAGATACATAATTTTGATAATTAGTATTACATATGACATAACTAAATAACTTTTAATTATTTATACACGTAGAGAAATAGCTCTTCTACTCCAAATAAGGTTACGCGAGTAATAGTGTGGACAAAAGCACACATGAGAAAGGATGGACAGCCCGTTAACTAAGAAGTTGCTGAGACCATAGTATGTAATAGTGTATCCATGTCTTATGATTACCCTCCCCCAAATGAACTGTCATTGTGAATATGTAGTTCATCTCAATTAGGTGTTTTAAGTTTATTGCATCTAGACGTTTTTATTATGACCCACCCCCCTCCATAGACTATCATTATGCTATCTTTGTGTATGACTGTTCTTCTTTGTGGAGTTCACTATTAGTGGTAGTCTTGGGTTTGTTGTCTTCTTATGGTTATGTTGAGTTTGTTGGTATCATTAGTTGTGAATGACTTTTGTGAATATGTAGTTCATCTCAATTAGGTGTTTTAAGTTTATTGCATCTAGATGTTGTTGTCTTCTTGTGGTTATGTTGAGTTTGTTGGTATCATTAGTTGTGATTGACTTTTCCGAATATGTAGTTCATCTCAATTAGATGTTTTAAGTTTAGTGTATCTAGATGTTTTTATTATGACTCCCCCCTTTTCCATAGACTATAATTGAGTTTGTTTTCTTCTTGTGAGGTTGTTCATTGTGTGGTTTTGTAGATATAAAGTTGATATGTATTATTGAGTGTGTTAGTTTATCAATGGTAGTTTTTGAAAGCTATTTAATATCTTTAATCTCGTGGGTGTTTTGAAACGTAATGTTATGAGCGTTTGGATCAGAATACGAGTCATGAAGGTATGAGTACTGACAATAATGTGGTAGATGATGCAATCAGTAAAGCATTGGGTCCTGATCGTGGTTATGTAAGAGGATATGGACATGGAGTGACAAAATCAAAGTTTTTGTCTATGAGTCAAAATGATAATACTATTACTTTTCTTCAAGAACGATGCGACCGAATGACATCAGAAATGACTGAGTTGAAGTATTTGATATCTTCCCTACTAGCAGATAAGGTAAAGTTACTTAGTCTTTGGTATTTTAAATGATTCTTTCAAACTCCATCATTTCTATACTTTGTACATATAGGCCAAGTCAAGCGAACAAAATTCCAATCATACTGCAAATGTATCGACGTCAGCACATGTTCCACCAACAAAGTTAAGTTCTCCACTAGTATGTTTAGTATTATATGTAAGCTTGTATTGAACTAGTACATAAATTTATTACTCTGAGATTTTCTTTATTGGTGAAATTAGAGTGTTACCATCAATAATAATGCTCCGCGAAAGTGCATGTTGCTCGACTGGAATTGTTTTGGAGAAGTAATTGCTAAAGGAAGATGGTCTTCCAATGATCCATCATTTCTTGTGCATCACATCCCTCTCGGTCCAAATGTTGTACGAGTGTGGGTTGATACAGTGAAAAAACCAAATCCGTATTTATGGAGGCCCACATCCGATATGATGGTTATTGATGATGTTGTAGGTACTACGATTGTTTGGCTTGTTGATAAAGTAAAAATATAAATATGTAAGTAAATTTTTATTTGAGTTTAATTTCGTTTAGTTTGTGTGGAAGCAAAAATAAAGTTTGATCTTACAAATATATATTATTTTGGTTTTTTTGTAGGTGGGGGATATTTGGCACTCCTTGGCAGTACTTTTTGGGTCCTGTTTCTAATTATCTATTCAGTTTTTCACAACAATGAACTCCTTTAAATGTCTCAGCTACATTCATGTATTTTATTTAGCTTCATATATAGCTTGGGATCTGAACTTTTTTATGATGCGTACGTTCTTGAAATTTGAAGATTTTGTATTTATGTACTTTTTGAGAATATGAAATTAGGTTCCCTTTATGAAAAATATCTCAAATTAGGTTCTTTTTTGGAATATGAATATAATGCTGCAAATATAAATAAAAAAAAAAACGCTATGAAAACATTTCTATAGCATTTTTGCAAAGTTAAAAATTTTGTCACAGCACTTTATGACAACTATTAAAAATTAATAATAGCATAATTATGTAATATTTAATAGCGTTTAGCATAATTACAAAAAAATGCTATAAAAAGTCAGAAACTTTCCATAACATCGGCTACCGCATCGTTTGAAAAAAAACGTTATGAAATCTTTATAATATCGTAAAAACGATGCTATATAAAATGCTATGGAATATCAACTATAGCGTATATGACAAGCTATAAAACGTCTTTTATAGCGTTTTTTAAAAGCTATATAAAATTTATAATAGCGTTTTCATCAACGCTATGGAAAGAATTTATAACATTGAAAATATGCAATTAGAATTGAACTTTCTATAACGTTGATAATAGCATGAAAAAAACGCTATGGAAAGTCTCAGACTTTTAATAACATCGCCTACCACCGCGTCTCAAAAATGTTATAGAAAGTCTATGATAGCGTTTTTTCGATGCTATCGTATGTGATATTTGTTGTAGTGACTATAGACCCTTTAGGTTATTCACAGAACATTATCCACTTGTATATCAGGGGTATATCAAATATATACCTAGTATATTAGGGATATATCAAATATATACCCAGTATATCAAATATATACCCAATAGATATACTGTCCCGGTTACATGATAATAACCTTGGATGTTTAGTTTATTGGATTTTGGACAATGCAATGCTATGAATTCAACAACAAATTTATTGAATAAAACTTTATTGAAAATACATTTGTTTTTACATAAATACAAACTACGAGTTTAGGGCAACACACCCAACACCATTAGGGTATTCCCCTACTCAGGCAGGGCTCTCCTGAGTGACCTCCGGTCCTTGCTGTTGACCGGTCCCTTCCCTGTTGCGGTAGGAAAGGTTAGGTTTGGTGCTCTACCCCTCCCACCAAGTTACTAAGGCCGACCTATAAGGTCAATGCTTTTTGGCTTTGGCTGAACAAGTCGGCTGTGAGCAGTTTGACCCCTAACATTGTCCCCCTCTTAGGTCGGGTGATGGGTCACTCACCTGAGAGACGTTGGCGGGAATGTAGATGACCTATTTTTTATTTTTTTACCTTCTCTCCGAGCGGTTTATGGATGACGTGGACCAATTGAGCGCTCCGACAGAAGCATTCAATAGCCGCCCAAGAGTTTCACGTCGGATGCGGTTCTCGAGGCACTCTTGAGCCCCTAACCATCGATTTGACCCGTAATATGAACTGTCTGCAGAGGACACGTGTATGGTAAGGATCTCGCCCTATACTCGAGGGCTTCTTCTCCATTCCACGCTTCTAAGATTTTTCTGTACTCTCGCGTTGAGGTTAGTAGCTCGTCCCTTCTTTGTAAATTCGTTGTAGTTAGAAATGTCGGATAGGTGTAGTGGTAGCTCTAAGTATAGGAGGGCAATCTCGGTGGAGAGCTTAAGATCGCCCCTAGGGGGTTCCCATCCCGTTGCCTCACCTAGTGGTAGGGTGTGCCCTGAGGGAGTAGCCTTGGGTGGCACCTCTAGTGATAGGTCCTCTTCCCATGCTAGTGCGGACTGATGGGATGTGAATCCCGGAGCGGAAGCGGAACATCGTTCATCAATTTTGAGAAACAAAATCAAAGATGTTCAAAAATGAAAACACAAGGGAAAAATGTTATTACCTTTGAAGAACTCTTATACAAGTTAATTTCCACCCGAACACCACCACCAAATCTTCCGTGCTATCCTCTTGAACTCGATTACACGCTTATGGGAGCGTTTGTTTGAAACGAGAGGGAGAATTGAGAGAGATCGAGATTGAGAGAAATTTCCCAGGAGTTCTGTGTGTTTCACTGTTCTGTTCTTCCAGCAGAATAAAACTGCTTTCAAAACAAATATCAAACTCCCCACTCCCTTGCTAAAATGAGGGGAGTTAATAATTTAATAACATTAATTAAAATTAATATTATTAATATATTACATAATTATTAATCAAATTAATAATTAATAATTATTAATCCTATTAATAAGTAATTAATTAAATATAATATTAAATACTTAACAATTAATTATTTAATAGTTAATTAAATATTTCATATTTAATTAAATCATATTCTCTATTGTATAACCTATAGATTTAATGTAGATCTTATGTGCATTAATTTTTAACCTATAGTTTTAATATGAATCCAATTCATATTAATTATATTTGAATCTCATTCAAATAATTTCTCTCATAATATATAGTTTCAATTTAGAATGAACTATATATTATAATGCATCAATATATATATATATATATATATTTCCTTGTGCAATTTGAACAGTTCAAATTCTTCAAAAAACTTGATCCTCGTTTTACCAGTTATGAGCTAGCAAGGGACCTAATGGATCTACAGATCAGAAGCTCTAACGATACGAGATTAATCGATCAAATCATTGACCGAGTTAATCAACATTCGTTAACTACGGGTCATTCCACTAAAGACCTTTAGTTGCACTCTTCTCACTGCAGAATGTTTTCGTGTCCACGGATATACGACCATTAATGACAAGTCAATCCTTCACAAGTGCTCGTAACTCAAGCTGGGTCAAATTATCGTTTTATCCCTGAGTTACATCTTGCTCCTTAAATATCACTGCTCCTCTAATGAACAACCCGGTTATGGTCCGACCAGTAACTGGAAGTCCCTCTCAGGCCAGTGAGAGGGTGGGGCCCCTTGTTCAAGTCCCAAAGTCAGTAATTAAGAGAACAGTCATCTACTCCTCTAAGGTCGGGGAGGAGTGAATTTCATCTTGTGAAGTTATGTTCTCAGCTCCCCACTCAGTCTCGTCCCCAAAATGGTAGGAATATTGAGTCGGCAACTCGTGCCACTCTGACCCATACAGATCAAAGGACGAGACCTTACAGGCAGGAGTCCATAACTCACTTAAGATTGAGAATGAGTTGTCTGGTCATCCTAAGAAATAACAATCTGTTAGTTAACGGTGTTATATTTAAAGATTGACTATTTCGTGGTCCGATCTTATACAAACTCATTGTATAGGATACCCCCACTTGCATGTCTCCACACAAACGACCTGGATCGAGTCATCTGTAACATTTACAGAGTGGACCGTATCCATAGTGTTGCCAGGATAAGGTTGTAACATTTACAGAGTGGACCGTATCTATAGTGTTGCCAGGATAAGGTATCCAACCTTATCCATATACTATAAACCCTTTAGGTTATTCACGGAACATTATCCACTTGTATATCAGGGGTATATCAAAAATATACCTAGTATATTAGGGGTATATCAAATATATACCCAGTATATCAAATATATACCCAATAGATATACTGTCCCAGTTATATGATAATAACCTTGGATGTTTAGTTTATTGGATTTTGGACAATGCAAGGCTATGAATTCAACAACAAATTTATTGAATATACATTTGTTTTTACATAAACTACGAGTTTAGGGCAACACACCCAAGAGGGACAACCTTCCCTATGGTATGGAAATTCAACCCTACGTCCCTCCCTCTAAATCTCCAGAAAGACCAGCCGACAGCCCTTCCAAGCTGGAGGAAGGGTCGCTAGCCTTCTTTAGGGATAGATATGAGATTGCCCACTTTATTGGCATGAGATTTCCTAGGCACGACGAGACTGTACATAACCCCCCCTCCCGAAGGGCACGTTGCCTTCTACGAGAAGATGTTCGACTTCGGGGTCCTTCGAGGTCACTTTCACCGCTCCTTTCCCCAGTCCACTCTGAAGGTACGTCGCTCCTTTTCTCTTCTCTCTCTTTCTTTTATCGTGCATTGATGGTGGGACCTGACTTGCAGGTTTTCTCATAGATATGCT